AGTGCAGACAAACGCAGTATACACCATCGAGTGCTAGCGAAGGGCGGACTTCTACACCAGTTGGCAAGACGTGGTCACCCTTCTGACGTACGTGCGAGACAACGCTCAAGCAATCACAGAGGCCGTAGATGAAACGGAAAAGCACGTGGCGGCTTTCAGCGCTTGTACGCATGCCCGGGACACCGGTACCTGAGTCTGCATGTACTTTGTACTGAAGACTCGTCGTTGATCACACATGTTCCTCTTTTTATGCTTAAGCAAAGTACTGCGCAGGAAGATAAAAAGTTCGGACCGAGCGCCTTGCAGTTGATCATGCTATATGTTGTTCTGTACGCCTGCGATGTAAGTGTACAAGAACGACAGTGCGTAGTATCAAACGATTGGACGGTGGACAAAAGCAAGAAGGGGGGGTTCTTGCTGTAATGATCTTGCGCTTCGTGATAACCCATTGACTCACAGTACCGGTCCTCCACTCCATTGGCCGTACTGCCCAACAGCAACACATTTTGGCAGCGCAAAGCCATGGCACCCAGATTCAATAAAAGGGCCGTTACTTGTTCATCAATGTGCACCCGCAAAGATTCTGGTCAGTTTGCTTTGAGCGCTTGTCTACTCTCGGTCATGTCATACAGCTGCTGATTTCCCCGTGACAGCAGCTTCTTTTTCTACTAGCCTATGAGAGAAATGTTGAGGTTCATCCAGGCACACAAACGACCTACTATATCCGGGACTATCTGTCGCATTTGAGACTGCCATATTAAGCTGACGACTTGCTTCTGGATCCACTCCACATATCGGCTCCTGCTGCCCGACGGGTACACGATTGAGCAAGTGCCAGTCGTGTTGGCGAGTAACTACTGTGAAAGGCTTGGTGCAAGAGAGCACCTCTCAATGTTCAAGGAAGACAATAGATGTCCTAGCCGTCATCCTCATCGGCTCGTATGATGCAATATTGGCCAACAGCGATATGCTTCCATTTGCTACAAAGTGTGCTCACATCTAGTGATCGTCGTCATTTCTTCAGCAGGCGTGCCAGCGGGATGTCCAGTCATCGACGAATATGCTGGCAAAGCTCGCGCTCTTGTACGACAGTTACAATCGCACTTTCCAAGACTAATTTGTTTGGGTTTTGGGATGGAGCACACTTCTTTCCAGATAACAGGCAAGTCTTTGCGTCGATACTGTGCAAGGTTGTGTGCTCCTACAACTCACGTCACCCTTCGTACAGGTAAAGAGAACTATCTGAGCAAGTAAGTGCTCCAAACGAGGGAAACGTAAAATTGTATTGACCAGAGTTAAGTCTCAGTAATTAATCTCTAGGGCCTAACTTAACTATGTTATACTACAATCGCCCAATGCAGAATTCGCTCACGACCCATTGAACGCGTCCAGCAGCGATTAGTGGTTTATTTTGTCGACACAACGGTCTGAATCAACCAATCGTGGAGCAGCTACAGTATCACCATTGATGGTGATATTCCTTCCATAATTAATTTGGTGAGTGAATGCTGGTCAATATTATCACACGAGATCATATTTACATTGACAATATAATATCGTTGATATGTAACAGGCCCACACGGTCAATTTTTATGATCAAGAGTTCACGTTAGCACGCAGAGGCAAACTTTGGTTGTCGTGCTACCGAGAAATTCTATATTGTCCTTAAAAAATTATCGTATAGAATCGAAGAAATATATTGTGTTGAGTGTAGAACTGTGTTTCTAATGGTAGTCAGTGTTGAAATAAGAAAAATCAAAGAAATGGTGGCCCACCTACAAAGTTTGAGGAGAGTATTCTATTCGTCATTAATCGACCATGGACTCTATCAATGTCGTAACAAGAATTAATCTTAGTCTGATATTGATAGTGAAATGCACAAGCTGCAACGGTCACTTTGAAATCGTGCTTCTCGGTGAACTATGGCGTACCACTTTCAATGCATGCTTATGCGTGGTGCTACTCCATGCCAACTTCGAACTGTTTCGTCGATGTCTTTTCCACGCAGATCCTTCTAGTGAATAAGAAATAGTTCAATGCACTATCGACACTTTCCGTCAATCATACGACGTATTGTAATGTGGATACACGTCGGTCGGTACAAACCTTGTACTGCGTGTGACAATCATAGTGTTAAGGAACAATTTATTACAGGAACTAGACAAGATAAATATACCTTGATGGTGGAAATTAATATGATAATGATAAATATCGTACAAAGTACTCAAACCGGCTGACGTGTGTCAGTCACACACTTGGTATAGAAATAACTACACAAGGTGGTGCTTATTCGTGTAAAGAAATATATGTTTCAGCGAAAGAACATACTGTCTTAATTTAAAATATAGGAATAGTGTACTCTTTGCGCAACACAGATCAGGCGCCTTTCAAAGCGTGTAATGAGCACTTTTTCGCATTCCAATCTATTAAAGTACCCTAATTTATCAAACTAGTGACGTGATCGTTGGCATATCTGAATTCGTATAAGCGAGCAGACCCATTAACTCTTTTCATTTATTTCGTTCGTACTCGAAGACCCTGTAAACTTAGAAGCGTTGTGCTGCCTGAATGGCTGCTTCGGCTCCAGTAGAAGGATGGTGATTTTTTCGGCTTATATGGCCTTATTATGACCTCTTCTTCGGTCGATTATTATGTTGGATGAACAGGGAAGCAGAACGATAAGACGAGAAGATGTAACACCAGTTGCAGATTGACAAGAGCTATCGATAGCTCCATAGGAGGTTCAACTATAGTTCTTTTGCATCTGCATTACCTTTTGCGACATTCAGGGTGCTTATTTACATGTAACAGTACACATTGACCGATTCATCAGCATATCAAGGGAATTGGTTAGTGCGAGTAGAACTTAGATCGAATAGACTCGTAAAACCAATTTGATCGTTCAGACCACATTTTGTGGTCTAAACGATTAATTATTTATATCGGATAACAAACAAAGATTGTTCATATTGACAAACTTACATATATATCGTTTGTTGAGTCGCCCTCCTTTTCAATCATAACTTTTTATCTATTTCCGGCATGTGGATACCCGCAGCCATTTGATTGGTATCAAGCTCTATTGTCTCACATTGTCGCAGGGAAAACGTGTTAGGATATCTCACAGTCGGCACACGTCAAAGCGAGATCTCGCAACAAAAAAATTGGCTGTCCATACGAGCTCGTGATTATGGTAGACAAGCACGCCTCCGAAGAAATTGCCTGGTCAACGCTTTTTGTACACAACTGATACACCGGTCACTTCCTTTGTATCAGCACAAGACCATGCTCTTAGCGCTACCGACAGCGCGAGAAATTGACGATATTAATTCTAAGGTCGTCCAGATACATCAAGATGGGGCTGTACCACGGGGATGTGTGCGTGTTGAAGTCATATAAAGTAGGTTATTATCTGTTATTTTGTCTGTATGTGATTTATAAGGTTATTGTTGACTAGTTTAAGAAGGCGGGTATCCTTATAAATGCAAATGTTGCCCAAATATAGTTCAGATGGCGAACAGAAAGGCATTTGGTAGAAAATCACACACACGGAAGCTCTGCTGCTGCACGAAAAGGACCAGTATTATTTCCAAGTTTGCGGGAAACAAAAACAACCACGTTCGACACCTGTTTTGGTACCCCGATCTGACCAAGAACTTGTCAAGCCGTCATCACGATTCGGAGGTGGAAGAAGGATTTATCGTCATGCATTCGACAATAAAGGATTTCGATTTGAATTGATCCGTCTATGATACAGGTGCATTTTTAATTAAGTCATCCTGTAATATCCGAATTGACGTGGACTAAGTGTGATACCACTGTAGTCATATAAACATCAAGTCTAATGAATAGGCGCTGGTGTATGAAGCAAAATGCCCAATGTATTTGGCATCTCCCTGAGAAATGTCACGGCATAAAAGAGACACTAAGCATTGCGAGCTCAAACGTTACGACTCGAAGAGTATACAACTTCATAGAGACATATCACGTTTCGATATTAACATTGACACGTTCTCAACAACACTATTTTCGATAACACCTACATGTTATCTCTTAGACATGACCCTTTTCTGCATGTGATGCTAAACGATGTTAAGCTTTGCCCAAGTACTTCGACGTAGGTTCATCTGCCTTTTTGTCCATTTCGACACTGTTCAAGGTCGTCAAACCTTACATTAAAGGTGCTCATACCGGTAAGACCTTTAGAATTGCAAATGCGATACAACACTGCGCACGAGGACTGTCTAGTAGTGTGAAGTGAATCGACGAGTGCGATTGGCCAAACGTGGCGAGTTTACTTTGCAAAGTATAGGAGCGTTGCACAGTCAACTTCTCAACGTAATAAACAAGTTTCTGCTCTTTGCGTGTAGGCTACGGACCCGTCCAGTAAGCGTAATTTCAGTTTCTCGAAAAGAAGTCGCGTACAACTCGATACTGTTCGGCCAATCCAGCGTCGATGGTACATGTTAGACAAGTCAAGATGGCCTACCAGGGATTTCTGATGTGGTAGCCGTTCGCCTTGTTCGGTGCCGCTGTACCCCACGTGCGCCTCAGCCTCGGTTCTGGTCACACGTGCCTTCTATGGCGATCCTCCGGAAAGCCCAAGAACACGTACCATTCCGACGTGTATGACTACTCAGTTGGACTCAAACATGGACAGTCTGAACCTCTAATCGTCCGATTACTTATCTTCTCCTGTCAGCACAAGACGCGCTGTCATCCATTTAGCCTCCAACAGCGACCCCAACATGACTGATGCGGTTTTGCGAACCTGCATCTTCGAGTCCCCACTCGTTCGCTCCTCAGCCAGTCAGTATACCGGTATACCAGCCCACCCACCGCGCTTACCGCCATCCCCGATCCAGTAGCAGTATACACCGTCCACCAGCTGCCACGCCCCCACTCCTCAATGCAGTCAATCTGTCCATCAACTCCCAAAGATCAGAGCCCACGGGACCTGCCCGTCGCCTCTATCCGCGTCGCGCCCGTCGCGCTCTCTCATGGCCTCCACGGACTCGTCGCCGCTGCTGCTGCTGCGCACGACCCCCAGCGCTGCACCGGTGAAACCGCTGGCCGCGTCCGCCGCTTCCCGCCCCCCGTCGCTCCTCTCGCGCGCCGTCAGCCACACCGACAGAGGGTCTGCTGTCTCGTCCTTCCTCGGACTCGCCTCGACTATGACCGGCGCCTGCATTTTGACGCTCCCCGGCATCGTCCAAGCAGTGGGTGTTCTCCCCACTCTGCTGCTGCTCGTGCTGAGCGCGTGGATGGCGTTCACGGCCTGTGAGATGCTCAGCGTGTGCTGCCACGCGGCCGGCGCGTACTCGTACGAGGCGCTGAGCTCCCGTCTCTTTGGCGCAACCGGTGTGTGGGCCGTGCGGCTGCTGACGCTCGCGCTGCTCTTTGGCGCCATTGTGAGCTACATGGTCATTGCCATGGACCTCTTTGAGCCGTTTCTCATCGACGTGCTGCCGCGCCGCGTGATTGGGCTGCTCTTCCTGCTCGTGGCCGTCCCCTTGTGCCTCCCTGAGACCATCTACGCGCTCCGGTTCGCCAACGTGGCAGTGCTGCTGTGTCTGCTCTACATCCTCGGGGCCATCAGTCTCCGCACAGTGCAGCGAGACCCCGAGTTTGCGGCCCACGTTCCGAGGAATCGCGCGGACGAGTTCACGTCCGAGTGGGCTGCGCTGGCGTACGCGCTGCCCATTGTCATGCTGAGCTTTGTGTGCCAACTGAACGTCCCGCGTGCGTACGAGGAGATCCACGACAAGACACTGACGACGCGCGTGCACAAGGCCCTCGTTGGCTGGGGCCTATGCATCTATCTCGCCTTTGCGTACGTGGGCTACGCGTGTTTCCAGGGCCAACCGCCGAGCAACATCCTCACGGGGTTCGCAGCAACGGATCGGCTCATCAACGGCGCGCGGCTTGCGCTCGGAGTCTGCATGGTGCTCAAGACGCCCATGACCTACCAGCCGCTGCGCCAAGCCATGGAGCTCTGCTGTCTGGGCCACGAGCGCAAGAGTCTGCCGTTCCGGACGGCCATCACAGTCGTGTTTCTGCTCGTCGCGCACCTGTTCTCGCTGTTCTCGCGCAGCTTGGGCACCGTCATGGCCTTCGTCGGGGCCCTCTCGGGCATTTTACTTGCGCTCACGGTCCCTGGACTCTTTCTGTACGAAGTCGCGCGTGGGTATCTCGTGGAACGCGACGCGTTCTACTCGCCCCGACTGGCGCTCGTGTTCGCCTGCACGGGCGGCGTCTTCTCGGCAGCTTCGCTCGCGTACCTGTCGTACAATGCGCTCGTGGACTTTTGACGGGAGTCGCCGTCTCGCCGGATACAGATACTACGCCTCGGACAACAACTGAACAACTAACTGACTTGTTAATCAAAACAATTGCACAGGATATGATGCACACAGGACATGGGGATCGACCACACACACGAACCATATCAACACGTTCTCCAATTCGTTGCGTAAGTACCGCAGGGACAAAGTGTTTGCGCGCCGCGCGTGTGTTGGTGCCCACGAGTCTATTTCATGCTGCAGCCCATGAGCTTCTTGTTAAAGTTTTCGCGCTCATTGTGCTTTTTACTTTTCAGGATCTTGACGGTGCAGCACACGGCACAGAACCGGCCTTCGTCCTTGTCCTTGAGCGCCGTGTGGCTGCCGTCCGACGTGGATTTGCGGATCTCGGACGCCTTCTCCGAGCAGTTCTTGCACACGGCGCGGCCGCACAAGACGCAGTCCCGCAGCGGGTCCAACAAACTCTTGGGGTTGCGACAGAGCTTGCAGCTGCCCCGCACAATGTCCGACGGCGCCACTTGCGAGCCCTCGGCCATGAACGTAATGAGCTTCACGAGCAGCTTCTTGGGGATCGTGTCGCTCACCATGACGCCGTTCTGGTCCGGCACGTTGATCGACGCGCCGCCCTGCACCAACGCGCCGCCAATGTCGCCCAACTGGCGGTCCACGGCCATGTGCAGGTACGTGGTGCCGTTCACGAGCTCGTTCAGCGCAGCACAGGGCGCGAGCGCCCGCCGATCGGTCGGCGACGACGGCGACGACGTCGTCGACCCGTTGGCCGGCGCGGTCTTGAGCTGCCGAAACTTGTGGATTATGAGCCTCGTGATGGTCACAGGCGTCTCGGGTTTGGCCGTCATGATGTGGACCGCCAGCGGCGTCTGCCCGCGCACGTTCACTGCCGCGGGGTTCGCCCCCAAGTTCAGCAGCAGCTCCACGAGCGCCGGCGCGTTCGCCCGCGTGCTGCTGGCGGCAAAGTGCAGCGCCGTGTTCGAGTGCCGGTCGCCGGCGTTCACGTGCTCTGCCAGGCGCGGGAGCTTCGCCAGCGCCCGCAGCACGTCAACGTGGCCCTTCTTGGCGGCAATGTGCAGCGCGCTCTGCTGGTTCTTGCGGTCGCGCAGGGCCAACACGCCGGCCGACGTCGTGACGCTCACGCGCCGCGCGGCAGCGTCTGCGTCGTCGTCGGGACTCCACTCGTTGAGGCTATTGGTGCCCGAGTCGTCGCTCGTGGCAGAGCTCGTGCGCGTCGGGTCTTCCAAGTCGTAGCCGTACTTTTGCAGCGTCGCGATCAGGAGTTTCGTCTTGGCCGCCTCTTTGTCGTCCATTGTCACGGCCGCGGCGGCAGCGGGTGCGGCAGTGAGGCAGTCCGCCAGTCAGTCAGTCTGTCGCTGAGGCAGCGGGTGCGGCAGTGAGGCAGTCGGTAGGGGGAACGGGCGCGCAGAGGGCGGGAGCGGATGCAGAGAGAGGCGGCGCAGAGGGTACGGGCGCTGTATGCGGAATGGGAACTGGCGTCGGGGGTGGCGGGCGCGAATTCGCATTTAAGCGCACACGCGCGCGAAGGTCAGACAGACAGACGCCGAGCTACGGCGGGCGGCTTGAGCGAGCGAGCGAGCGAGCGATCCGACTTGACGAAAAAAGCAAATTTTCGACGTGGCACAAAAAAGCAAGGTGGCGACGCGCCAGGAGGCGAAAAAAGTGACGCCACGTGCTGCGCGGGTGATTTGACACGCAGTGTTTGTGTGTGCAATTGTGTGCAATGGTAAGTTCGCGTAAGTACGTGCGCGCGTGGGGCTGTCGCTGGCTTTTCCATGACGTGCGGGAAAAAAAGTGTACCCACCGGATTTTTCGATGTTCGATTGGAGCGCGGGTAGGGTAGCGAGACCGCAGGAGCTACGGCGACGCGCGAAGCTGTTTTTACAACGATACGCTACACGACGACAGCGGACGACGACAGCGGACGATAGCGGACGATAGCGGACGACGACTGGTCACGCAGGCGGACGTCGACAGTGTGTGTGTGTGTGTGTGTGTGTGTGTGTGGACCACACAAAGTAGCCAAACCTCATGCTCTGGAGCTCGTCAGACGAAGCGGCGTGGGCCGCGGTCTGGGCGCGCTACGACGCCGTCGTGCGACGTGGGCCGGTGCGAACTTGCGCGCGCAATACATCTCAGCTGATAGGTGTACTTTGGTGGACGGTGACCGCTGCTACAGAGCTAACCGCAGTGTGTGGCTGTGTGTAGAAGAGCGAGTTAGCGGCTCTGGACGACTGGTACCTGACCGCTTTTCCAGCTATTGTGCACACGCGAGCGCCGTTGCCGTACGTGCAAAAGTCAGAGCTGGAACGGATATTGAAGTGGAAGCTCACGAAGGGAAAGTGGTGCGTTGTGGCATTCCGTGGCATTGCTCGTGCCGTGCCGTGCTACGCCACTCACTGCTTGCGGCTGGTGGATCATGTAGGCGGCCACAGCTGCTCAAGTTTGTGACGGCCTTGAGCGAGCGAGAAGTCGAAGACGCTTCACGTACAGCGTTCGGTCAACTGAAGAGCGGAGACGTTCGCGCTGCGATCGAGGCGCTGTGTGTGCTTAAAGGGGTACTGCCGCATACAATGCTAGACGACGCTTGGTGGCTGTGGCAGCAACAGCTGTATGGGACCCTTTGTGTTTGCTGACGGAAGCGCTGTTGCTCGTCTAGGTTGGCCCTGCGACGGCGTCGGCAGTGCTAGCAGCGCACGACGGAAGTGTGCCGTTCATGGCAGATGAAGCGCTCGAGGCGATTGCCGGTGCGTTTGGCGCGGTCCTTGTTGGGCTCACGGTTGTGTGGAGAAGCTGACATGCGGTTGGGTTGTAGACACCATCGGTCCTCGCAAGTACACGCTGCCACACTTTCTCCGTTTTGCAGAAGAGCTTTGTGCGAAAGCAAAGTGGCTGAACAAGCAGCGAGCTGCAGCAAATGACGACGAGAAAGTGGAAACTGCAGAGTTTTGGACCCCCCAGCGTGTACAGCTGTGCCTATATGCTGATGCGCATGACAGGGCTGCGCCTGCTTCCGCTTCCACTGTCATGTTGACCAAAGCGGCTGCTTCTTCAGCTACGAAACGAAAGCGAAACAGTGCGACGGAAGCGTCGCTTCCTACGGATGGGCAAGCGATGGGGTTGCTGGAAGAGGGCACTGATGACAGACAACGATCGTTGCGGAGGTCGCGGAGAAATCGACGGCAAGCAGTGGACTCAGCGTTCACGGCAACGCGTGCTTCGCCATAGATGTGGTCAGTGAGATGCTGTCACAACAGCACCGTTTACAGAAAGCAGAGTCGATGATCACGATGACAAAGCGGCGCCGTCCTCTTTGTTTTCCAGCAGCGTTCTGTCGATGGCCATGTAAGTGAATGAAGGACAAACGCTGTGTTTTAATCGTTCTTTACTATTCGTCTTCGTGAACTCGAAGGACCGCACATTCCGTCACCTATGTCTCGTGCCCTTTCCAGGTGATGCGAATCGTGTATCTACGTCGTCGTCTCATCGACTGTTCGTTGACGCATCGCCGCTAGCGACCAATTATGTATATCGGCAACGTGGCACGCCTGCTGCGCGGATCCGTGGCTCGACGCTTTTCAATAATATTGCGTTCACTTGTGATCAGCAGCTTGACCTTCGCTGAACAGTCTCACGATCCGCTTCTGATTCCGCTGTCGCAAGATTCGCAATCTGCGAGAGCACTCGACTCAGTCAGCTCTTGACTCACAAATTTACAATCACGCGGGCGCTGAACTGGAACGATCGCACGTACCAATAACGGCTGAGATGTTTTTCTGCCCAGTGCATTCAAGTAAAGTCACGACGGTATCGAGACTAGATAATCCAGTATTTTGCTTGTACGTAATTCGAATTCCAGCTCCGTTTGCAACGTCAGCGAGACAAAATGCCAGCCAGAAGCATTCTTGCCTCGCGCACACAGTGGACAACGGCATTTTCTACGAGAAGTCAAAGATGGCCAGTGGCGATACTTGAGACCGCTTTACCGTTGCAAGCTACCCTTGTTGCACTCCAGAGCCGCCGTTGCATCAGCATCAGTGTCCAGTATGAATGGACGCCACTTCAACAACAGTATCTGTGTGTAGCCCCTCACGTCTTTACGAGTGCACTGACGCAACACGATCAAGAACCAGTTGTCACTTCTTCCATCTACCTGTCAGTCATCTTTACTGCTGTGCACATCGTCAAAAAGCTACAAGTCCATCATTCATTAGCCATCTCGTCTCAGTGCCACGGCCTCTCACTCCAATATGCAGCATGCGTAAAGCAACATATCTTTAACCCATGGCTGCTTCGATCGTCTTGCAGGCGCTGCAAAAGAGATGGAACGCTTTGCGGCGCTGATAATTGTCATCATGAATTCAGCTGTTTTCCATCCTACAAGTTCACCGTTTCTCCATGACCACTGGCGATTCGCACGCATGAGAGATGCTACAGCCGCAGTGTTGAGCTTGCTAGATACGATCACAGATCGCCAAGCGCCCCTGCGACATCTCCCGTCTGTACATGGCGTTTCGACGCAAAGAAAGGTGCTTTCCTCCTCGTACAGCCGCCGATGGTGTACTGACCTTTGCTCATGGTGACTCGGCTATGTTAACGCATGATCCAGCGTTCGCTTGCATTAGCATGCATACATTTGTTGGCTATCGAGTCAACTCGGTCCGACCTAAGCGGGATGTTCAGCTCTACTATTTGCTGTTTGTTCGGCCCAAGAATCTGCTGCTCTATTTGAGCTGCGCGATAAAAATCGATACGAGCTAAAGCTGTAGCTGCATAACTTCTCCAACCTGCGCTTCCACAACTCATGGTGAGGTTCTGTTCCAACATCTCTTCGTGAACTGACATCAACATCACACAGTCGTCACTCCCAAGTCGAACGCATTCCAGTGACAAGCTCCTGCGTTGCAATGCCAGAGTAGCACGTGACCTTTCTTCACCAGATCACGCAACATTTTCTGCTTGCAGACAGAAAAACCACAGTCCACGGCCGAGCACGCGCCATTGCGAACGTACAAAATACGCATATACTACGCACACCTTCGATTGCTTGGGACGTCGTCACTCGACTTTGTACTCCATATCGTCACACAATTATATAATATCTGCCCACCTGCTTGGCGGACGTGAGGAAGCTGTCCATACCAAGAATTACGTAAAATCTCCAACGTCTTCGTCGTCATCGACGCCCAACTCGGGCTCCGACTCTGCTCTTTCCAGGACAGGAATCGCAAACGAGTCATCGGCTTCCGAGTCACAAAACGAAGGCTCCATGACTGGACTCAGAACGTCCATTGAATCAGCGTCAATGATCTCAAACGCAGCAGCCTTATCCCGCGAGATGAACGGGCGTAGCAACCCATTACGCGTCTGCGCTCCCACAAACCATCGACGATGACGCAGACTCTGCAGTTCGCCGTCCCATCCAAGATCGAATTGAAACCAGCGCTTAAACTGCATTGGTCTGCGCTGGATCAGCTTCAACCCACTCGAGCTCGCGTACAGCACGTCGCGAGGCTTGTCATAGTCTTCAAACTCCACCCGCACGCAGTTGTACGCCGAGACGCGAACAGCTAGCCGCAGCGACGTCGGTTTCTGGCGAAACGCCCAGTCCTTCTCGCTCGGATCGTCTTGCACCAAGTAGAGCTCGTCGCCCAACCGTTTCGCAAACTTGCCCGTGCCTTTGAGCCGCAAGTACACGCGCTTCCCGCGCAGCGTTTCCATCTGCCTGTTCTTCTCCATGGCAACGTCTCGAAGCCGCTGCAGCTGCAGCTCCAGTCGCTCGAGCGCTTGGACCGACTTGGCCGACGACGTCAGGAACGGCACTTTCGTCTCGGATCGAGACAGCACCTGCTTCGACCAGCCCACGCCGGTGGTACACCAGAGCGCCACGTGCTCGCAATTGAGCGACAAGAGGCTAAAGTGGCCCTGGCCGAGCCCCAACAAGAAGCGGCAGCGCGCGAGCACCACCGGCGGCGCGTCGGCGTGTGTCCGGTGGACTTCGCCCAGTCGCGACGACGCTTCGCCCACGAGCGACGAGTTGTACTGCACGCGCCGCATGTCGGCCAGCGGCCGCTGGTTGAGGAACTCGGCGAGACTCGTGAGCTGGAACTTCGAGTCGGCTTGGCCCGCGCGGAAGCCCCTCTTGCGCGACCAGACGTGGGCCACGAGGATGGCGGCGGCGCTCTCGCCCGGGGCAAAGACAATGCCGTGGTGCGTGTAGCGGAAGGGCCAGCGCGTGGTGTCCCAGATGCAGATGTGGTCGGCCCGGCGCAGACTCGCGACCGTCTGCACTTCGCACGTGTTCATTGCGGCCGGAAGCGACGACGGCGACGGCGACGCAAATACCGTTTTAAACGACCAAATCGCTGCAATCGGTCGGTCGGACGGACGGACGGACGGACTCCGACTGGCGATTGAACTCACTGCCCAACTGCCCAACTAACTCGCGGATTATCGGTCGTCGTTGGTCTATTTGGCTGTCTGACGCGATCGGTCGGTTTGTTTGTTTGTTCGAGTGTCGGTCTCTTGTCAGTAGTCGACGGATCGGAGACTGAGACGCAGCTGTTGATTGATGGCACGCGACCACTTGTGACGATTCTCCTTCCTCTGCCGTCGCAAGAGTTCGGTGTACGCTCGACGACGAAAGAACGACCGCGAGCACATGGTGCGCTGAGCCATGTGGTCCGCACTTTCGACACGTTGCGTCCAGCGATCACTTGACGCTTCCGAACGCGATCGTGATCGACGACACGGTCAAAGGCGTCGAGGGAACCGACTCGACGACAACGATACACTGCTGCGTGTGTACGCGAGTGTGGCTCGTGCTTGCGCGCAAAGAACAATACTGCGGCGGACTCCATCGCACCGTTGACACAGTGTGCCGTCTGAGTCGATTGACGACTTGCGATGCAAGAGATGACAACGAACGGCTTGAAAAGTGTCATGCAGTTGTGCTTGATGTTGCTTGTGGTCCTTGTACAAGTGCTTTGGTTGCTGGAGATCACTCATCTGCTGTCAGGAGAAAGAAATGTGTGTGTGTGGTATCAGCGAGTCAAGTGCTCAGCTGACGACGTCTCATGTAATTGAAGAACAAGTTCGAAAGACGCATATGGTCGCCGGCGCTCATTACTGTAGATGATTAGCAGCGAGAGCTTGCACAGCAGCTTCAGTTCAATTTGTACAGTTGTAACGCACCGCTTGTAGATGTATTTGTCTGGGCTATAAAGACGGTTTCGAAGCGGTACAGCGCTATCATTGTGACGTAAGTTCGTAGAGACAAGTGCAAGATCGTTATGTGTTCTGTCGCGAGCTAACAAGTGCTCAACAACGCAGAATTGTCGAGAGTATGACAAGCTCCGATGAGGCACGACATGCTGTATTTGACATTCAGCGCCAAAACCATGAGGGGGCATGTATAGTAATTTGGGAGAGACTTGTGATGGGACTGAAAACACACTTGAGACTTAGTCATTGCAGCCGCCTGTAGACAGAGGAAGCATTGCAACACCGGTCGCAAACATATGTCGAGCGTGTGCGGCCTGCAGCAATTGCCACTACTTTGTTTACTTCTTCGTTACAATGGCTAACGCAGCTACGAGATAGGTTGCGAACACTAACCTTGGTACTATACTGCAAAAATGATGGAAATACTAGGCTCAAACGACCGCTCCGTACTTTGTCAGTCAAGTCTGCAACGTCACGTGAATATATTTAATGTAATAAAGTACCAGAGATGTTACGACGACCTATATGCAATAATGTCAAGCACAGAAATAGACCAAGTTGCCATCATCAGTTGAGTCCGATCACTCATAGTCATGGTCGCCGAATGCAGATTACGAAGAACGCGCATGCAAATAAGTGATGGAGTCACAATTACCCGTTGCCTATTATATAAACGCGATATGCCTGAGAGCCCATCAATTGTATCAAAACATAGCATTAAACAGTGAAGACAGATCACCTCAACTTTGTACTAAGCGTCACAACAACAGCAGACCTTACGGGTGGAAGCAATTCCGTTTTCACCTTCGGGCTTGTTCTTGGCGTCGCCTGATGTGCGCCTGTCCGTCCCAATCGCCTTTTATGCACCTATCCTTCCACGGCCTACGTATACGTTTTCTTGTTTCCACTTCCAAATTTGCTGAGCACCGCGCACCGCCCGATCAGGCCCGTACCAGATGACATGTTTGGAAGAACTCTTTGTACAACAACCTGCCTCACGCTTCTTAGCTTGAGCCCGAACTCTTCAGTCCACCACGCCCCATGCGCGGGTCGGCGGGCCCCGTCACGGAGGAGCTGCCGCCGCATGACAGCGCACCGCCCGACCAAGAGGTCGGCGATCGTCGACCCCAGGAGCCGGAGGGCCACTCTCACAGGGAGGGGTCGCTGCCTAGTAGGGTAGGAGAGGATCAACGCGCTGTCTTTTCTGAGGGAGATGACACGGGTCGTTGTCTGCTTCGTCTGCGACGCTCGGCGACACAGCTTTACCTGAGGGCGTCCCTACCGATTTGACGCCTGTTCCCTGTCAACCGTCGCCTGTTCCCTGTCAACCGTCGCCTGTTCCCTGTCAACCGTCGCCTAAGGCTAAGCAGGGACCCGAAACAGAGTAGGTCCCTACCAACCGTCGCGCAATTCCAAGCCGAAAGCCGGATCACCGCATGTCCCAGGCGACCAGTCGCTTGACACTCCGACGCGTGACGAGCTCCGGGCGGATCGCTATCACTCGTCCGGCCGCAAGACATCTACGCGGCGTTATAGGATATTCGAAAAACGGGGATAAGTGAGCCTCCACGTGAAGAATGGCTTACGACGCTAGCCGAGCTATTCACGATAGTCCACGACTCCGTAAAAATTGACGTGGAGCTCGTCCCTCCGGGAAAGAAGTGTTTCCCAAGATTTCGACGCGACGAAAAAGTCACCCTTTCCCAGTTCTTCGAGGTCGCGTGTGTGAGATGTGATGCCACGTACGCGGCTTGGACGGATTACGCCACGAAAGTGACCCAAAAACTTTACAACACTAATTAGACCTTCCGGCCTATTGTTCGGAGCATGATCAGCAAGGTAAAATGGGCTCGGTTAAAGCCATTGAATCAGTGGGCACCGTCCCCTAAGACGGGCCGTGGAGCCACGGAGGGAGGGGAACGCCTCCAAGAGCGCCATGGAACCTACAAAGTCTTCGTGATAAATTCGGCGGTCTACAACTCGCAGGACATTGCGACTTTACGGGCGCTGTGTCTGCAGCCAGCAACCTCCAAGAGCGGTGTCCAGCTTCGTAACGGCACACTAGATGAGTGGAGGATTATCAGCGGGCTAGCGGGGGGAAGCATCGTATGCAGGCGCCTGCCGGTGTTTTAAGTAGCGTTCTGAATTCGAAGGAACGCGTCCGACTATCCTGGACTATTTGGGCCCAGGTGGAGGGTAAACTCGTGTTGCACCTGCGTAGAGGGACAAACATTCGTCTATGTCGACAGACCACAAGTGCTATCAAGGAAGATATATTGTTGGCTGCGGAACGATTGCGAGTGGACCAGGAAGTTCTTCGGCGTTTTCTCAATTAAGCGAAGACAATTAGCTACAACCCCCCTTCAACGCTGCATTCACTTTTATTTTTTTGACCGTGTCACAGCACGAAATTTCGAGTTAGTATCCGTCCCGTTTCGGAACGAGGTCTACCGTGTGACCAACATGCATCTTCCGGACAAGGGGTCAATTTGGGCCCGTCAACTCAGCCGTGATGGCACGCGTCTGGCTACTGAGCGGGAACATGCAGTGGAGCTATATAAAGTCACCCGATTCACGGATATTGGCCGGCTGACTACTTATTTCCAAGAGCATATTGCTGCGGAATTTGATTTGGAGGATACGGATACGTGTACACCCAATTCCCAAACTTCTATTGTGTGGCGATTGACAGTCATGATGGCTGGCTGTCCTACATTTTTGCGCGGAATCGTACGCCTTATTTAGTTTGGCGTACCTATCATTCTTAAGCACCCAGATGTTGGGCGTCGTTCACAATGTCTCTATTGTAGGGACCTGGGTCACACCATGGCGAGATGTTCGTATACGGAGAAACAAGTGGCCGGACCCGGCAGCAGGGTTGCAACTGACCGCTTAATTTCCGGTCTAGAGGATTTGGCCGCGCCATTCAGCAGTCTGGAGGAACTTAAAGAGGCGGCTGCGAACCGGTTGACACTACAGCAGGAACAGGACAAAAGGAGGCAGGCGGCCGTGGAACCTACCTCGTCCGTGGCAGGTGCACTCACCACACCCGAGACCACGATACCTAGCGCTAGAACTTCTCATAATCCCTCGGATGTCCGTGGGACTGCACCATTGTCCAAGAAAAGATGGGTGACAGTCCCTATCCGCAGGGGTAAGAAGCTCCAATCCCGTACGAAGACACTTGCCACGAGTAATACAGTGGCATCATCGGTTTGCGCAGGTCTCGATGATTGGCCTGAGGACACAGACGTTAGTCTACCGTCCGGTAAACCCACCTCTCCTGTCGAAGAAACGGTAGACCTCACGGCTGAGAACGTCGCCAAGCCGGTCGATGTCCACGTGACTTTGGCGACCGAGAAGGAATCGTTGCATCTCTGTTCATCGAAACCGCCTAGCCGGCGACCGATATCTCAGCTTGTTACGCTCAAGCAGCGTGAACGAGAAACGTTACGCAAACTATTGGCAGATGGGAATCTTAGCATGGGGATCCTGCTGCTGGTAGAGGATTCTGTGGAACGCGATATCCACGATTTACCCGCTCTTGAACGGGCCCTTGGTCTGAGCCACCAGTCATAACCCCCGCAACAGGAAATTGTCTGGCGATGGCGATCGCGCAAGCGGTGGCGAACCATGATCTGGACGCCCAAGACACTATATTGGAGAACAGTATCGCTTGTAATGATCGTGGCATCTGTTGGACGAGTTTATTAACTTTTGACGAGCAATTTACCCACTCTGACCGCACGGGGACAATTGTGAATGTGTTGCGGGGCTGGGAAGTAATGGACGCTCGTAGATCCTCGAAACAATTTTAGTGGTACCTACATAAATACTCTGTGACACCATCTACCCGACTAGAAATGATTGAGAAGCATAATTGGGGAAGTTGCGAAATTATATCAATAGCGGCAAACTTTCTGCAGCGTCAGATATTTGCTTGCACACAATACATATGGCCTCCATTCCTGGACCTGATCCCTGTATCGTCCTAGGACGATTACAAGAGGTGCTAAAATTTTCGAGACCGAACATCACGTACCACTGGAGACTGGCCAGTGCGCCCACGCGATCTCAGTTGC